TCCATGTTGTATTCTAAGCGTTGTTAGGTGAATATTTTCAAGGAGGACCAAAACTCTAACCTACTTATCAGGTCCATACAATATTGCTGAACATTCATCACAAAAATTTGTGTTGAGAAATCAGTTTTCATGTACGGCTTTGTCTATTTTTTTGTTTTTTTCAAATCTCTTTTTGTTGATATGGTTTATTAACCATTTGCAGATTATTTAAAGCCAGGATATACTTTTTTAGATTGTAAGAATGTTTTTTGGAGATAATAGTTTAGTGACATAATTCTTACTAATTAATCCATAGCTGGGGTAAAAGAGGTAGATTCATACCTTTCCCAAGGGTATTTGTGCATGAGTGAATATAACAAACCCAGCAGGAATTGGAACTTGGCGCACCAATTAACAATTCCAAGACCAGCACACATCCAAGCTTACAGCACCTGGTATTCCCAAGCAGTCACCCATCAAGGTACTAACCAGGTTCATTGCTTAACTTCTGTGATTGTATGGGAACCAATGTTTCAACATGATGTGGCTGCTTTCCAATTTCATTTGAAAAATGTTCTATGATCTCAAGGCAACATTTTTTACAATTTTCAATATTGTGTTTATTATTCAATAACTTCTCAATATCTTGTTTGCTTTTGAAGTTATATTGATTCATGGCAATGTTTATATTTATTAAATTAAGAAATACACACCAATAACTATACTATTATCTATATTTATAATCTTATGAACAACTCTTGAGATCAAAAGAATCAAAGGAGATAACTTGAAATCCATATTGTATAATTATCATCTAAATATAAGCTGAAAATTTCACTAATATTGGTTGGTAAATACTAATTTTTACTGCAACAACATTGATTTGCATCTTGAAATCTAATGGTTTCATGAACCTTTGCAACAATAAAACCTTTATTGGATTACTTTTTTTTCATCATTTCACCCCAGGCAAGGTAATAAAGCCACTGACTGAAGGGGTTACTAAGAGTGAAAGACTATGAAAAAAATCATTAAGGAAGAGAGGACAATAAAAGAACAGGATTCAAAGCAACAGAAGGTAATGATTGACCTTGCTTTTAAATTTTTGAAGATTACAGTTGACAAGTAGACAAGAAGCCAGAAAAGAGTTCCACAAGTGAGAAATGCAAGAGAAGAAACTATTAGCATAGAACTTACGGTTACATCTTCAACTGTAAAATGATGAGACCTAGCTGCCAATCTAGTACTGTGCTTATATTCATAAAGTTGACATACCAAATAGGAAAGCCAGTCAGAACAATTATCATGAAAATATTTATAGAAAAAAAAAATAAATAAATAAAGAGGGGGTACATTACAGCAGTGGGAAAGTGACTGAAGGCAAAATACCAAGTCAGGACTGATATTGCAGATTCTTGTTTGGATTTTGTCAAGAATCTCCAGATATATAACAAAAGCACCAGACTAGATGTGGCAGCAATATTTAATGCATAGACAAATTATAGATTTATAAATGTGTAAGATAGATACTCGTGATAAAAACTATCTAGCACATGACAGTGAACCAACTTTCCTTGCAGCAGACTGAGCAATTGATTTAATATAATCATTCCAATTCATGTCAATTGAAAATGTTAGCCTGAGAAGGAGCAATATCACTCTCCTGGAGGTTAGTTACTTTATTGAAAAATTCCATTGATGTTAATTTGTACAGAAGCTCAATTTGATCTTAGGACACAAATAATGAATAGTTAATCAACACAATAATATTATATGCAAAGGTTTAATTCGTCATCAGCAGTTCCCAGAATATAATTTAAGAACAGTATAGATAATTTATAATTAGCTGGTTATATGTAGACACCATATATCACTCATTCACTACCTGCTTCTCAAAAAACAATCTTGACTAATTACATTGTTTATATAACTTATAATGGTTGGGATTTATTTTACAAAATTACCAAAATTTTCATCAACCCCTATTACATATACTTCTGTCTGAACTTCTGGGATGAGGAGTTATTATCAGGTACTCTTAACAATACCTACAATCTGAAATATGTTTCAGCTTTCAACAACCCACAAAGTTTTGATTTGCTATTAAAACCACAAATGAATGTATCCAATTTCTGAATGACTGATTTGTTTTTTGTTTATCAACTCTTTGCAGGTTATTTAAAGCCACAGCAGTTTTTTTAGATTGTAAGATTTTTTTGAGATAATAATGATTTATTGATACAAGTCTTACTAATTAACCCATAACTGGAGGGAGAAGAGGTGAAGTCATGCCTTTCCCAAGGGTATTTGTAAATAAGTGAATATAACAAACCCAACTGGAATTGGAACTCTGCTCTGTAATTAACAATTCCAAGCCATTATCCATTACATCACCTGCACATCCAATGTTACAGCATGTGGTATTTTCAAGCACTCACCCATCTAGATACTAATCAGGATCAATGTTTGCTTAACTTCGGAGATCATATGGGAACAAGTATTTCAACGTGATATGGTCATAAGCAATTTCTGAATGAGTTGCTGTATATTGCGATTGAAGTTATGAAGAGTTATTTCTTTTCATTAGAATTTTTTTGCAACATGTTGATGCATGTTGAAATCCTTACAGTATTTAGTATTGAAGTTATTGCTAACATTTTTTGTCAAGATTTACAAACTTTAAGTTTCGTTCAATTTCGCAAACCAATCTATGGAATATAAAAACTTAAAGAAAGCATCTGTAAAAAAAAAAAAAAACAATATCGCATTTTTATTAAGTATTTGTTATTTTAATCATTAAATTGTTTTTAAAATACTGGGAGTGTTTTCTATATTAAATAATAAAACTTCTAATTTCCCCCCAAAAAAATTAATGAAAATTTATTGTGCTTGGTTACGCACCCTAGTAAAACCAACTGTACTTTGTACTACCTTACTTATTTGCACTTCTACCCAACATATGGTTTTGATTAGTCAATGTATGGCTATTGTAGATGGTGTGATGGACAGACTAATGTAAGTCACAGAATTTTATATATAGATGTCATAGTGAAACAAGCTTGAAACAATTTATTCATAATGTCAATCGCAATGTACAACACCTCATTAAGAAATTGGAATGAAATAATAAAAAGTTGAATAGACAGACTGGAAATACAAACCTGAATTTACTTTATAATGTGGAAGACTTCAAGCTTGGACGAGAATATAAGAATCTATTGATCAAGTAAGGAAAGGATTTATTATCGAACTGTTTTTTAGAACTGTTCCATCGTTTTTTCATCATTTTTGATTTGCCTTATAACAGGGAAGGACTTCAAGCTTGTTGAAGATATAAGAACCTATTGATCACTCATTATTCCGACATCAATGGAAGAGATTTCTTGAACTGTTTATACAAAATTTTTCAATCGACTTTTTAATATTTTAATTTTGGAAATCATCTTGAATACGTTTTAACAACATCATGCGTGACGACTACGTGATCATATTTAAGCGGGCAGCTGATCTGTATAAAATTTCAGTTATCTGTTTGGATTAGTTGGGCTCTTATGTCCATCGTCTTTTGTGTTAAATTTTTATAAGTTCTAATGTTAATTATGTTTAAATGAAAATGTCCATGAAGATGGTCTTAAATAGACCCGAAATCCGACGTCGACTTTATATTAACATTAATACTACATAATTGCATATTCAGATTTTTGTTTGTTTTTTCTGTATTTTTTTCTTTCATATATATATATATATATATATATATATATATATATATATATATATATATATATATAACAGATGTGTGTAAAATAAATGTAAAAATATCACCAATGCTATCAAAAATTAAATACTGCCATTATTTATTTTGGCAGCCCGAGTAAATTAGTAGGAAAGAAAACACTAATAAATGAAGGCTATATTTTTAGTTTAAATCTTACAAGAGAGACTCTTAACATGTATTAATTGATATAAAAGATATTGATTAAAATAATTTGGCCGAGTGGGTGCCAAGAATCTTTAATTTTGTTTATTTCTATTGTCAAATTAAAAAAAAATAACAAAGAAAACTGGAAATCTAATCTAAAATACAGAAGGCATCTTGGAATTTTGTCTAAAATGAACAAAAGCTAACAGACAAAATCAATCATTAAATATCAGAACACTGTTTCTTTAATTTAATAAAAATTTAATTAAGTAACCAACTAATTTATTTAAGTAATGGCCTTACCTTGACGCATTATTTCGTTTGATAAAATAAAGATTCCCCCCGACACCATACTTGTAACTGATCAAGAAACCAATTTCAATCAAAGTGATTAATAACGAAACAGTAAAATGAATTCAAAGGAAAACTGCCAAATTGATTACGGATAAAGTAAAATTTGCAATTATAAATAAGAAACAAAGAAGAAGACTTTATCAAGTTAATTTTAACTAAAACATTTTATTGCTGAATATTTGAGTTGAGGAATTGTTGTTATGCTCTGACTAGTGTCCTTATCTTCTTTGTTACGGTCACAGCACTTCAGCTGATATGCTAACTGGCTTTCCTCAGGTCTATCATAGTCTGTAACCTTCTGGTAATTTCGAGCAAAATCCAATTTTTTAATCCAAACAAGCAGATTGTTCTCATTATATTGTTCAAAACAGGATATTTTATATTAGCTGTTAAAAGTCAATTTGTCCTTGCAATATAGTCTTTCTCTTTTATGACCAACAGAACTATTCCTTCTTGAATATACTTCCAAAAAAATTATTTCCTGATCACTATGATCTTAAGCTTTTCAAACCTAGGATCAACTGTTATTTATTCTACACATCTTCATAATATGCATTTCGTACTTTCACTTTTTATGCCCTTACAACCTCATTCAGTAACCCTCTTCTTTGAGTGGCTCTTGGGCCTTGCATTGCGTGAACAATAATATAAAAAAAGAGAAAAGTTGAAAACAGTATAACAACCAAGAGGAAGACACTAATACAAATATATCAGCTTAAAATAAAATATAACAATATTTCTTGTAAAACTAATAAATTTAATACAGTTATAAAAGGATCAGAAAATGGTAATATTAACCATTTTCTTATAAGGAAACTATCAGCATTCATTGACTGAGCAGCAAATACTACTTTTGGTCAAAATTTATAAAATCTTTCTATTAAAACAATTTTTCAGATAAAGAGATTTCTCGAGTCCAGTAACTGTTATTGTTCTTTCTAGTATTGATTTGGGGAGGGGTATTAATTCCTATTTGAATTAGGTGTGGAATGTCAACAACTTAATTATGTCATTTTCTCTTAGAGTTACATCTGATATCCATTTTAGTTGTTGCCATTGTTGAAAGTCCTCAAATGATGTCATTTCTGTTATCTGGTCCAGATCTTTGTGATTTTATGGCACTGGTCCAAAAATTTCAAAGAAGGATGGTGTCTGCCAAGACCCATAGACTTAACTTGCTCAAAACCAGTTTTAACAGTTAATCTTAGAAAGCAGTTGTATACGAATCAGTTTTGATATTTCTGAACGGGTTTATCATCAGGTATAACATCTAAATAAATTCTCCATCTGATGAGCTTGATGAGTTTTCAGGTTAATGTTTTAGTTTTGTAACAATTTGTGGTATTGGGAGAAAGTACTAGTGCAGTTCAGTTTCCTTATCTCCTATACTAAATTTATTATAAGTGATCTATACACCACTGTATTTGAAGTGTTTAGTATTTACTAGTTTCTCATGATGAATTTTTATAGTAGATTCAGGGTGGGTGCCATAAGCTATATATAAAATTCTGTGACATCTAAAATATCCATACACTGACTGATCAAAAACAAATTTTGGAGATATCTGGGAAGCGTATTAACAGAGAATGAAAAGTGCAACATGAAAATCTTGAAGATACATAACTAATATCAGTCTTCATATATCACAGTGAATGCTGGACAAATCTCCTTACAGATAAAGAAGAGACTTGAAGCAACAGAAATATGGTCCTACAGAAAGATGCTAAGAATATCATGGACTGAATATGTGAGCAATGACAAAGTTTAAAAGACAACAGAAACAAAAAGACCAGGAAGAGACAGTTGAAATTTTTGGGGCACATAAGAAAGGAAATTTTGGGGGAGAAGTGCAAACAGGTACGGGGGTACAAAGTACATTTATTATTTAACATATAAAATACTTTATTTTAAAACAATTTAATTGTCTTAGTAAAGAAAAGAAAAGACTGTCAACTTATAGTAGCAACTGCAATAGATTTCTTCTGTTTCTCGACTGCAACACTTGTAGCCAAATTGATAGCCCGTCGTAACAGTCCAACAAACAAAGTAGAAACGACAAAATGGGGTCACACATCCAACCTTCACGTCTCACGAGCAAAAAACGCGTGTTCTGCCCACCAGCTCATAAAATCTTCTGCCTTTATAAGTAAAAAAACAACGGCTTTGGTTCACCAAGAGATCTTTCTGATTGGTCACGCCATTGAGGGGAGAACATTAGCATAGATTCTAGTCATTGAAGTAGATTTTTGCTAACAACTTTTTGTAATTTTTCTTCGGCAGATTGCACACAGAACGCAAACTTTTTTTTCGGGGTAAATTATTATCTCTTTCAATACATTAATAATTACAGTAACAAATATTGGACTCTCCTGTTGATTTTGATGTATCCAGTTTCCACTTTACCATGAATTTGTGAGAACTATGAACAAATCACACAAGGCGAAAAGCTTAAAAAAGTTGCAATTTGGCTCTAGAAAGACATATTTATACATGGCCAGTTGTATGTTGCATGCTCAAGAGTAAGAAATCCCAAGAATTTATTCTTCACTGTTAAAAAGGAAAATAAGAAATTTTCTTAAAAAATATTGTTTACCATGAAGTCCTATAAAATTAATGAAATTATTAAACTGTGAAGTGGGGTTTTTGTCAAAGTATTTTTCCAGACAAATCAGCTTATTCAAATTTCATCAATTGGTTTGCAAAATTGAATGAAATGTAGAGTTTGTAAATCTCAACAAAAATGTCAGAAATAACTTCAACAATACTAGATACTGTCAGTATTTCAATATCCATTAGCATGTTGCAAAAAATTTCTAGTACACTAAATTGCACTATCTTGTCAAATCTGTGTCTCCAAAACAAAATTTTCAGCTAAAATGTAAACATGTTGTTTTTAAAAAATATTTTGCTTGTCAGACATAAAATTGAAATTTCTGAGCATCTGAACAAGCAATTTATTGACATGTATTGGAAAAGCATGCTAACAAATTTACAACATGCATGTTTGCTCCTTTGTAAGAAAAGTAAATGTTTTGGATTGAGGACACTAGGTTCAAGCAGTGAATCAATATTAGGGACACAAACAGGATATGTAGCTGACCTCAAAGAGTTATGTTCCATTTCTTCCTTGTCCAGAATGCTTTCAAGTTAGATATGTTAACCTACGTGACTGGTTTAGGTAAAATACAGTTTTATAATAATAAAAAAAGAAATGGATGAAAAAAATCAGCATATATAGTATGCTATGA